GAGTTCCTGAGCTGGGGCTCACTTGCGATAAAGAGTGTAAAACATTTTTTCTTGCTTAAAATTACTATAAAAGGAAATTTTTTAACAAAACGGATGCGATCAGGAGAGAGTTTTTTTTTGAAAATATTATACTTATACTTATTATTTATAATTTTTATTTATATAATAAATTTTTTTAAGTATCAAATTAGAATAATTTTAAATTAAAATATTTTTATATTATAAAATCTATTGTATCAGTTAAAATTATAACTTTTTATAATAATTAAACCAGAAACTTTTTTATATATAATTATTTTTATTTTTATTTGATTTCAATTATAATTGTTAAAAAGATTAAAGATTTTATTTTTATATAGTTTGATTAAATATGGTTAGAATTCAGATATTATAATATATAAAAGAAAATTTATAAATTTATAATATATCTTTTAATTTTTTAAAATTGATTTTTTTAAATATAATTTTATTAATAATTATTTAAATATTATAAAAATTTATAAAAATATTTTTGAAAATCCATAGTTCAAGATTACTTAAAAATATTTTTAAAAATTATTATTATTTTTATATTTAAAATTTATATTTAATATAAATTAACTAATATTAATATAACAAATTTATCAAAGTTATATATATAAGTTATTATAAAAACATGGTTATAATTTTTTAAATTTTTACAAAAAAATATAATATTTTAAAAATTTTTTTAATTTATTACACAATAAAAAATTATCTGTTTTATATAAAATTTTATAAATTATTACTTGTTTATAACTTAAAAAACAAGTTTACTAACTTATTTTATAAAATATCTTAGTAAAAATTTTTTAAAACAAACTTATTTGTCTTATAAAAAAATTAAAATCCAATTTCTTTAGATTTTTTAAAAACTTTTTGTTTAAACTTTTTTTATAAAATAATTTAATAAAATTTTTTTAAAATATAACTATTTATAACAGTTTAAAAAAATTTTTTTATGGAATTTTATGTATTATTTAAAATCTTTAAATAAATATATATATATTAATAAATTTTATATAATTTTATTTTGAAGTTTTAAAATATATTTGAATAAAATTTTATGAAATTTTAATAATTTTTTTATTTAATTATAAAATAAAATTCAAAATTCAAAAATTCAAAAAATTATGAGACAGGCTGTATATATATGACAGACTTGCTGATTATTATCAAATTATCATTAATATGATTGATCTTTTATTTATTTAAATATTATAAATTATTTAATAATTTTTCAAATAATTATTTTATTAGTGTTATGATAAATTCAACAAATTTAAAAATAATGAAAATAATTTTATTATTTGATTTTTTAGATAATAAGATCATTATTATTTTTTCGATAATTGATTAATGACAATAAATCAAAATTTTTTGTCGAGATTTGTTATTGGAATGATGTAATTAATTTTAACATTCCGATTGTTCTTATCAATCTTTTTTTGCTTGAATTTGTGATCATATGGTACATTTATTGAAATATACAAATATGGCATAATGAAATACTATTAACTATTATAATGGTTCTATTTTAAAATTGTGTATCCAATTTTTAAAGAGTAAAGTGGTCGGATATCTTGTTGATGTAAAGTATGTCCTTATGTAGAAATTTTGTTGCGCCGCAAGCATTTATTTACTTTCACAACATGTATTCAGATATCCAAATTAAATACTGGAAATTCCATTCTTTTTGTGGAATAAAACATCGATCCATATCGTACCGATTCTGTACGATACTAACAAAAAAAGATAAAAAATACATTCGAGGTAAAATGAATGTGGAAAATCAATATCACTAAAGGAAAATATAAGCGTTGATCAACGGAATAATTTAAAAATTCCTATTGATTTTTCCTTTTTAGTACTAAATAACAAAATTACATCATTCCTTTATTCCGAAAGGGTGTAACATATTTCATTGTGCAGAAAGTATTCATGATGACTTATAAGGATAGTATTATTCACATTAAGGAAGGACGCAGAATGATAAATGGGGTAATTTAACATCACTATATGTTTCTTATTGTCACAATGATGGATGAAACGAGGACGTTAATTGTTCATTGTCTGAATAAATATAAAGTGTGGGCGGTTGCTTGTAATTTTATAGGTATTTCTATTTAAATTTCATAGTAGCAGTGTCAGAAATTTTCTGGCAGTGTCAAATAATAACTTTTTAATACATATATTTGTTAAACATCTTATCGGCTTATCTTTAGTTTCACTTTTTACATAGATTCCGATCACCTTTTCTTCCCCTACTTTTATAAAATTCAATTTGAATAAAAATTTATTGAATATACTGATATACTTGACGTAAGCAAGTCATGCTCATATTGTCGTAATTTTGTTGCCAATTCCGCTCGTCCAATTCATTCCTTATCATAGAGATGGAAAAAGCATATTTTAGCGTACTATGTGAATACACATTTCTCCCTTATGGGATTTTTTTTTATTGTTAATTTTTGCATACGGCAATACTTTGAACATAAATATATATCTGATGACGTAAATACGTAATAGAGACGAAATATTCTTTATTTAAAAGATTTTAGGTATATAATTTTTTGGAAAAATTCATAAAAGATGAAATATTAAGTTTCTATTTAATCTACATAGGTGCGCTTAAATATAAATAAAGCTTATCGATAGTTTGCCATTGAAAATTACTATACGTACTGTTATTAAATAGGGGGCGATGGGGTTTTGGCGAGAAATAACGTAAATGAAAATTAGCTCAAAATCGTTAAGTAAAACGAGTAGAAGCTCGAACGGCGATCGTAAGACACGGATAAATAGTTAAATTAAAGAAACACACGAAGCGATCTTCGCGATCTTCGGGGAAGCGACGTAAATAATAATTAAATCAAAATTGATAAGTAAAAACGAATAGATTCACGACAACTATTAAATTAGAGATATGAATGAAAAAATTTTCGTTATATTCAGAAAATGCCAACGCGAAAAATAATTATTCAAATTAAAAAAGATTATAAATTTTCAGAGTCTAGAATATTGATGCAGATCCATTAACCCAGTATTCATGTTCATTCGGTGGAGATGGCGGTTTACTATCCAATTTTATTCCATGTATGAGTTCATGAATTAGTTCGGAAGTGATAGCGGCAGAGACTTCTTGTACTTGGCAAGCCAAGTCAGAATTCCGAATCGAGTTATTGCGACGAACACGACGTCTAATGGGGCCAGGCATAATTTATAGGCAAGATATTCGAAAATGTATTTTTTGGGGGGAGGTTTTATTATTTTTGATTTTGATTTTATTATTTTTGATTTTTGATTTTATTATTTTTGATTTATTTTTGATTTTTGGAATTTACTGGTGAGTATAAACGATGCCTTTATATATAAAATTTCCGCCGTATTTATAAATGGGATATTGGTGATAAAGGAAAGTTTGTACGTATAATGTATATAATAAAACGTTATGAGTCACACATGTTTATTAATCAATTTTTTCGATTATGCATACGTTGTAATATGTGTTCATATATCGAAAGATTTTACCGCCTAATTTCAATGAAAATTTGATTCTGAATATCAATCATAGCGGTGAATTTCAAAACCGAAATCCCAGTAACAACCGATAATCCTTATTTGAACACCCTGTGTAACATTTTTTATTCCGCAAAGACGGAATCTTAAGTTGTCGTAACATATCGTTTACTATTACGTGTAATCCACATACCATTACGTTATCGTTGAGTGACACGATGTAAAATCACCGAGATCATACCTGCCACATATTCACACGGTGGTGAACACAAGCGGAAATATTAACAAACAAGGGAATTTTTATTTCATTTCATCATTTTTTTTTTTTTTATTCCTATACACAGTATTTTTGTTATAAAGAAAGATTTATTCAAATAAACAAAGATATCTTACGATTTTGGAAAATCTGTTGGTTAAAGGTATAAGTTTTAAAGCAAATGTTTAATACTTGTAAAGATCCTTTTATAGAAGATTTTGATTGCCATCGTAACGTAAGAAATCCAATCAGGTTACAGTACAAGGTCGGGATCTTTGTTACCACTTGTCCTAATTTGTAAAGCTGGACTGTGAGATGCGAACTAGAATAATAAAAGAAAATCCATTTTTCGTATCAACTATGTCATTTATGCCTTTTCTTTTATGTGATTTCCTTTTTGTATTACTAGAACCAATCCATACAGAAACCTATTTTAATTTAAAATATTTATTTTAAATTCACATATAAGATATTTTTGTATATGATTTTTTAAAAAATTTCGTATACAGTCAGTTTAAAAAATTTTTTCGAAAAAATTTTTTATTACAATTTAACAAATAATTATTAAATTCAAAACAATCCATGTTTTTGATAATAAATGACAATGACATCAAAGATTTGTTGGTAATTAATTAATATTATTGTCACAAATAATCAATATGAAGTTAATATACAGTATATAAAATTTTTTTGGTTTAGTTTTAATTTGATTTAATTCGATTTTAATAAAAACCATATGTATAACTATATATATATATAGTTCATACAACCTATTACAAAAGTTTTTGGTCTAATATTTTTTAATATAATTTAATATATAATTATTTAATTTACATAAAATTTTAAAAACATATTTTTATACTCTAATAATAAAAATATCAATAATTATTAATAATTATTTTTTTAA